CTGAAGAGAACGGCTAGAATACATTTTAAATTTTTTATTATGACAACAGTTATTAAAATAAATAAACACAGTTAAATGCACCAAAATTGTAAATGTTGCTTGGAATGTTGAGCAACTCGTTGCTGGTTTTCTAGAAATGTGGAGTGAAAGACATTTCGAAATTTAATATATTCATATCACGAAAACCTTAAAAATTTAGTTGAATGAACGTGGAGAATAAAAAAATAACAAATTTTCTAGTGATTCAAATTTTATTCTGTTTGCTTTTTTAACGACGAAAATATTAGAATTTAGTAATAATAATAAATAATATAATATAAAAAATAATAAAACAAAATGATGTGTTGGAGTCAGTCATTCGTGTAAGATTTGTTTCTTCAAACATTAAATACAAAATTTTCGTCACACCAATATGACAATAGATTTTGAAATAGTAGGCGTAGAATAATTCCCAACGAACAATTTAGAATATTTAGAAGTATAGAATTATTATATTTTGGCTCGCTTCCAACCGGATAGTAGTTTAATCTTAATTCTTTACTTCTCCAGGCAAATTTGCATATTACATACGTATACATTCCTAAATTAATTGAAGAAAAACTCGGGCAATGGTTTAAAATATATTTTATTTGTGTATAAATAACATAATTTCGAACATTCCGCAAAAAATCTGCCGAGACAAATAATAAATTATTGTATTGTCCAGAAAGACTTTAATTAAGTAAGATTAGTAAACAATGAAAGGAAAGCAAATGATAATTAATTATCTACACTTTCGTATTAAGGAAAAATTTCTGCCGGCCTTAATTTAAAATTTTTCCTTTTATGACACCAGAATCATTACTTTTAATTAATTTTTTTCTATCGAAATATGTGTAATTGTTAATGCGGTACATACGTATTTAATTTTAAACTTTTAAAATTTTCCAAAATTTAATATTAATATAACTCTAAATTAGAAATCCAGGTTTTCGAAAAAATAAAAAAGTAAAATACAATAAGAAACCTGAATACAATTAACTTTTATAAAAAATAAATTGTTTATGGAGTGATTTTCAATATTTTTCTATATGTTTAAATCGAAGAATGTCATCAAGAGTAATTATAAATACAAATTTATATTAGGATGGGAATTAGAACAATATTAACAGCTGCAATTAAAAACTTCATGTATTTCAACCCTTTAAACAAAATAGTAATTACCCAATTCTTGGAAACTTTTCAACAAAAAGAATAAAGGTTTTAAACAATACACTTTATTCATATTTTGGCATCTCTTTCGCTGCACTTGCAGTTGGTGACCTGAGATATCAAAGACTTCGATCCGCTCATTACGAATCGAATAACATACATAATGCTGTTATGCTTTCACGAAAAAATTACAAGGATGAGAATACAGTTATCCTTTAATTATATAATATTCTCATACAACAAACTCATTAGTTCTCTTTACTTCTGTTTTCGAGAAGTTTTGGAAAATAATTTTTCATTAAATTTTTAATTTTATCTGCTGGAGATCGTATGGATAAACAAAAAAGTTACAATCAGCTTTAATTCCAAAAAAAGATCTTATTATTAAGTAAATTCGTTCTCGTTTTAAACTGGTTTCTGTCTTATCAAAAATTTCCGAATTGTAAAGATCTCCCTTTTAATGTAGGCATTTTTTACGTTTTACGCAGGTTTTATTGTATTAACACATTCGTACATTAAATTCAATTATTTAGATTGAATACGCAATATATTTTATAGAATTTTCTGTCGTTTGTCAATATCGCCAACTTGTTTCCGTGCCAGTAAAAACTGGTATATTAAGATGAAAATTATATTTAAAAAGACGAATTTTTAAGCTTTAAAACATACTTATATATTCTTTGCATATCTACACTCAAATCTCGTAAAAATGCACCCCCCTTAAAGGTACAAAGCTCTAGAAGCAAACCATGTATTTTAAAATATTTAATTTAAAATCCTATTACTGTAAATTATTAATTACTATAAAATTGAAAAAAACTTTAATTTTCACGATACAGATGAGTTTTATTTTAAAAATATAATAAATTATAAATACAGTAAAAATAACGAGTAGAATCTTAAAGTCTGATTTCATTAGAGATATGACACACGTTCCCTCTCTATCTCCCCATCTATGAAACTTAACACATCAAACTTTAATAGCAGCAATGTTTCTAATACACACACCTCCCTGCAAAATTTCAGAAATTTTCGATAAAATAACAGTAGTTATTAAGCTTCAAAGTTAGTGAACAAATTCACAAATTCTTGCCCACTCATATACAAACGTCTGTACTTACAGAAAAAACCCAGAATATTTATGTATTTCTCTACAATGATTTGTTGTAGTTTTCTAAAATATATTGATATTTTGACTTACGCCTTGATCATCTAATTAATGTACAAGTTTTACTTATTTATCCAAATTTTTCACATTTAATATCAAGTTTATTCATATAAAATTTCTATATAATTTTTCGTAATTATTGATTTTTTGTAAATTAATTTTCTGCCGGCATTGTACATTCTTTTCCCTTATTTATAGTTATATAAATGCTGATGTCGATAGAATAAGCAAAAGCATTCAGTAATTGGCATCGTTTCAAAGTATTGCTGTTGCTACGCGGATACTGATTTAAGGAATTTATCCTTTATTATTTCCTTTGTTCTACCCCATTCAATGTGTTATTACTGTTAAACAATAATCGAAGTGAAGTTTATTCGTAAAGGCAAAGAAAGTTAAGGTACAGTACAGTACATATTAAATATATAAATTTCTTAAATTACGTAACAGATAATTTTAGTTAATATTCTTGATTAGTAAATATTTATCTTTACTTTATGTTAAGTGTAATTAAATTAATTTAATACATTATCTTGGACTATTATACTAACGTGTTTTAAGTGTTTAGTGTTTAGCTCTAACTTTTCTTCTCTTTTTCATTAACCGGTGCCCTAAAAACGTTTTATTTATGTCCAGAGACGTCTATGTGAATCGAAATGGTAACGCGATGTGCCTCGATGAACCTTGTTCCTCCATTTGGCTCTGCGCCAAAGTCTTTCTATGTTTTGGGTGTGACATCCTATATCTGGATCTACAAAGTAATATTTGTGATTCACTTGTAAATGTTTATAACCTGCAGCTTATAACTCTTGTTTTTTGTATCCTTTCCAGCAGCCAGAACATATAATAATTCCTTCTTTAATGTTGTTTCCATTGCATTTATCAATGTTTTCGCAGAACGATCATTTACAGCGCTTAAAATGCATTCTTTTGTCTCTCGGTATATTCCCCAAATACCCATTGCTGCGAAAGCACACATCCGACATTGTATTTCCTATGTAAAAAAAAGGTTTTGTCTACCTGAACAATTTTGTTTTCACCACCGAATTTCACAATTGGCCGAGAAATTAGAGTTTGAACATACCTCACGCATATAAAACTGTTCCAGTGTACAGTGGTTGTATGATTAATTCCAAACTGCAATTGGCAAAAATTTTCAGAAGTTAATTTCAAACACCAAAAATACAGTAAATAAAACGAATTGCAGTCAGAAAAGAAACACGAACTTTTGTCTTCTCAAACTCTTTTTCCATAGCAAGTCCGGATATTACATTTTCATTTAGGTGCTTCACAGGAACAAAAATACAACCGCGTTATATGATTTCTTGAACACAATCGCTCACAATGTAAAGTTCCCTTTTCTTCGAAAAATCGAACTGTGCTTTCTTTATCTTTTGGCAATTGCCAAATTGTAAAATCGATTATAACTCAAAATAGAAAAAGGTTTTGGAATAAAAATTCGAAGAAGCGTTCGAAAAATTAAAAACTACGAAGCGTGTGCGAATTCAGTTGCCCTACCGGGACTCAACCAACAGCTAAATTGTGTGGTCAAGCAAATCTTGCCAGGTCATTGAAAACCATTTCATCTTTATAATTTACGCACATTTATGTAAAATTGGATTTAACTATCTGAACGGCCTTTAACCATCTGAAGAATTCCGTGAGGGGGCGAAGCGAAGATGAGTTTTGCCTGGTTAAAGTTCGCTAGGATGTCCAGGTCTGCTGTGTATGTAGGGAGAAACGTAGTAGTTCTCACACGTCGTATATCGGCGAGATGCTCTTGTAACCTGATTCCCATGGAACGCTTAGTTGACCCAATGTATACCAGGTCTCTATCGTATCTGTTGTTTTTTATGGAGACACTATATATGTCAGGGAGACCTGGCAATTAAAGAATTTGCACATACCTCACGCATATAACTACTACTATATACGCAGCGTTTCCTGGTAATTTGTGTTTCGTTGTACCTTAACGTTTGTATATAATCCTGGATATATGTTAATGATTTTAATTATACGTACACGAAAATATGCTAATCGATTTCGATACGAAACGTGCATTAATACTCTTTGTTCAAATTCATAATACACTATTATAACTTTTATTCATATTTAAAAACGAGGTAAGGTTTGATTTTTATAATATTTTAAGTACAATTTAATAAAAATTAAAACTAATCTAAATACACTATATAAAATTACTTGTCCTGACTGACTGGACTGACTGACTGACTGACTGACTGATTCATCATCGCCCAGAGCAAACCCTGAACCTAGAGGTGAAATTTTGTACACAGTTAGGGTACGTCATGAAAACGCACACTAAGAAGGGATTTTTCGTAATTCCCCTGCGCGGAGAGGGGGAGAGAATTAAGGCTTAACCGGAAGAACGGTTTCTACTGTGCTATTATAGATGCAGTTTTTATTTTCAACAACGTTTAGTCTTCATCGAGTACTTAGGTATATTAAATTGATAACATTTTAGACATTGTTATAGATATTTTTATATATTTCGATTTTTTAACCAAATGTTCGAACCGTTTTAAATTCGAATTTGTTATTGCATATTGGTTCGATTATAGAACGATTGTAAACGTTCCAGAAAATTGATCAAATTGAAAACAGTTCGTTTGATTCTCGGCAATTCTCATCATTCTCAGCGGTAGGTGTTATATAAAAATACAATGGTTGTTGAAATACTGAATAAAAAAGGGGGTTTGCTTGCAAAATCAGCGCGGCGAAGTCGCGGGTAACATCCAGTAATACAATATGAACACAAATCGGATTAAATCAATTGACTGGTGTCCCGTTAAGCAAAGAATAGGCTACCTTAATTTTTTATTATAATGCATATGCGAGGGAGCTGTAGAAAAGTAAAATAATTGAAATCTCCCATTCACTTTATTATTAGTTAACTATTTTAGTTGTGTTTTTTTTTCTTATTATTTTGCTGGAAATTAAACATATTTCTAGACTATCTAAAAATTATGTAATTTGTCTCGGAAGAGAGGAGACCTAACTCTTGAACTGGTTAAAACGGGTCAGATCGGTTATCGTTACTTTTTGTTCGAGCGATGCCGGTTGAGATCGTCTGCTAATTATACAAATGTTATGAATAAGTTATATGAAAATGTTTCAAATAATGAAATTATTTCATTTATTAACTCTTTCCCTCTTCCCGTGGAGGATTTTCCAAAAATCCTTTCTTCGTTACATTCTCATGACTTACCCTGTCTACTAAATTTCAACATTCAACTCTTAACCGTTTGGGCTTTGCGCTTAACCTTTAAACAGTGGAATAGTCTGGTATGGTGCTACCGCTTAGTAGTGGAGAATAAACGTGCGAAATTTTTACAGTATTTTTTCACGCGTTATTTCTCATTACTGTTTCAAAAAAAGATTTTGTAAACAGTTACGTCTAGTAAAGAAAAGTCTTTTTTATTGTTACATAATTCATTTTTAATGTAAATTTGTTTTCGCGGTAGTTTTAGGCTAGTTTTTGGCGATACCCCTCAAAAGAATTTGACGACTATAGTCGTCGCTCACACATCTCGATTATATTATAAGATAACTATCAAATTTATGAGAGATTTCTTTTTCACTATTCTATTTATCGGATACCTGAAAAAATGATTAAAATTATTTTAATAAAAAGTAAAATACACCACAAATGGATACGAGTCCAATTTTGCTTGCCATGTCCAATCACTAGGACAACTATTTTTATTGCAGAGACAACCTTTGTTTTGTGGCTATGCCTCTGTACAAATATGCAAAACAGTTTAAAATGTTCGCTATGTCGATGTTTGGTATTTAATGCCCCAAAGGTTTCTGCAAATAAAGCGAAGCGAGTGTGCGAGGTTCATACATTTCTTTTTAATGCTTTTGATATGCTCAGTCCACAATTTTAGTAGTTGCTTTAGAAGCTAAGAAGCTAGCTGTGGATCGGAGTCTACAGCCTTCGTGAAGGTGTGCGCATCCTTGTGAGACCGACCCACTTTCACACAGACCCCATCGCCCTTGATTTCTCTTATTGCCTTTATGTTTACCCCAAGCTTGTGAGGCTGTACTCTTTCTCTAATTGTTGTTATTATTTCTTTTCTATTAAGGCCCTTTCCCTTTTCGTTTTGTTTGGGGTCCAAAACCAGAGCCACTCCACCTCCCAGGCCTTCCCTGTTCACCTTGCTGTTTATGGTCTTGTTAATGCTTTTGATCGTTATGCTTGGGCTGTAGTTAATTCTGCTATGCCTACGAAGGTTGTATTCAGGTAAATCGTAGTTGCTGCTTTCTCTGTTGTCTTAGTGGGTAGTTCCCGTAAAACTCCATATAACTAGTGCACACATCCATGTAATTTTGCCACTGAATTCCGTAACTCACTTCTCTCCTCATTATTAAGCCTAGAGCGAAGGGTAGCTGGGCATAATTCCATCATTCTATCGAAGATGTCCGAAGACTTTCAGAATCGTTTCCTCCAGAGGCACAATTCCCACCTACAGTGAAGAGTCATGTAGTTTGTCCATCTTGATTCTTCAACATCGTTGAAAAGAAAAGTGGTTCCCCCTTGATTGGGTCTTTCTGGCACCAACAGAACACGCTCAATACCGGACCTAACTGTTGTAAACTTGTTCAACCCTAAAGCTAGCCAATGAGAGTGTTTGAACAAGTGATCTAACAAGACAGTTTGGTCCTATTGCCTAGGAATATCCGTACCAGGGATTTGTCTTCAAATTGCGAGGCTTGCCGATTGGGGAAAAAGTGTCGCGACAGTCGAGCGGTCAGCTCTGTCGTGTGGGAGTGGAAAAACTTACTGAGACAGGTCTTCCATCGCAAACTATTTATTAAATATAAAAATTTCGCTTACAACTACTGTTTTCTTCGGCGTAAGGCCTATTCACAGAGTAAATCAGTTCGTAAATAAAGTTCAATCTACGATCTTCTCTTCTTTTGGCGAAGATGATGAGGAAAACGTAGGCTTCGGGGCGCACAGCACGACTTGAAGGGGTGATTCTCACAGTAGATTACCGTTGGCGAAAGTTGCTGGGACAGGATGGCGAAAACTTCTTTCGGGACGACGAACCGCAGGAAAAATCCAGAAGCGGAGCACACAGAACTTAGAACCAAGAACGTCACTTCCCATTTTTGCGCGATTTTTATAAGTTTTTCTGAGTCCCAGATCGAACATTCCGATAGGGCGATGTCGATCTGCCCCCGTTATCTAATTGGTCTCCCCTCCTCGTTACGAATTGTAACGTGATCGGAACCCAGATCGCGGGGTGAGTCCCCCCCGACTGACAATTTGATTCCTATCGAAGATGTTCGATCTAAGTACTCAAATTCATCTATTGTTTCTTTCTGAGAAATTCGTTTTTTCTCAGAAACTTCTACAGATATGACTATATATGGACATAATATATTCATCTTGCGTTAGACGGTTTCCTTTTAAAATATATATTATTATAATTAAAAAAACACCTTTTTTTATACGAAATTAAAACATTATCTTGCGCGAATTTCGACCTACTTCCGGAGCCTCACAAAATCTCCCAGCACAGATGGAAGCAGGAAGCAGGATGTTGACTGGCAAAACAAAAGAAAACCAACTACCTTGCCTAAAGCCAAGTCCATAACCGCAGGATCCTTGAGACGAAGCTTGCTTTTGAACCCAATGCCTCGCTAGAAACTCAAACTTAACAAATTCATTAAGAAATGCAATGAAAAAGAGTACTTAATATGGGAACAGGTTGACCCCTGGCAAAGCTAGCATATTAAAACAATAAAATAAAAAATAAAAAAACCCAGAGTGAAAACTAACCTAAACCAAAGAAAATCCAATGAACCCTTTAGAGCCGTTAGAAAGAAAGAACCGTTGTTAATGATACAACACTGACAGATGCTCCCCTTATTAGCAAACTATATTCTAAAATATACGTAAATGTTCTTTATAAATTACTTAAAACGTTATAATTATACATGTAGTAAGATAAAGTTTAAATCAGTACGTTTCTCACTATGTATGGAATAATACAGGAAATCTCTTCTAATAGTATGCGATTTATTGAGGTAGCCACATGAAACTTTTTGCAAAAAGAACTATTTAACTAAACTGTTTACAAACTAAAACATGTTATGACCACTTACGTTCATATTATTCTCGACAAAACAACGGAATTGTTTGTTTAAAACAGGATTTGAAGTTGGCAGCCCCCGTGCCGAATAAGGGCCGTTAAAGTTTCATATTTTTAAAGTCAATGTTTCTATCATAATGCGGTGATTAAAACATCTTGCAATGGTTGCTTTTTAAGTACTAAGTGTATTCAAATTAATAATTATGTAATAACTTCACACTTGGCAGCTTTTCTATCTTGTTTCCAGCATAATGGAAACAATTTCTTTTTAGCAAATTGACATTACTATATTCGTATTTTGAGAGATCACGGAATAAGAGGAAGGAAAGAAGTTCTCCTGTTAAAGAGAATAAAATTATTACGGTGATGATTTATCCTTTCTCTCTGCTTTACACTTTCCTTCTATGAAAACGTCTATTCGTTTGTTCTCAAGTGTTAAACTGTAGCCTACGATATAAAATTATAATTGTATGTGTAATATTAGCAGAAAAATGGTTCCTCCAAGTTTAGACACGCATCTACGAACTTGCAGATATATAGAGCGGAATGTTTGCATGTACACGAAACTTACTTGTACTGTACATGTTAAATAAAGCACAAGTAATTAATAGTTTTCTAAAGACAAAATAAAAAAGTGCACAACGCGTTAATTTTATAAGATTATCATTATACAAAAGCATGTTAATCTCAAATGAAGAGGTTAATTCGAATATAAGATATTATATCTATCGCATTGTATGAAAATATAATTTGTATTCACTTGAAGAAGTTTATAAATATCAAATATAAATAAAATTGTCTATATTCGTCGTTCTAATTGAATTCATTAATTAATTTTCATAATATATGAAAATCAAATAAGACAAAACATATTTCTGTAGTTCAATAAACACTAACTTTAATTTTTATTTATGTTTCAGAATTAAACATGAAGATTTTGTCAACAAGAATTGTTTACGGAATGATCATTATGTTACAGTTCTTCAAAAACAGCAATAATTCCCCAACATTTGGTAAATTCAATGGAAATACAATACAAGTATTAAACACTACACTTTACACATTTTTCGGCATCCCTTACTCTACACCTCCAATTGATGGGTTAAGATTTCAAGAACCTCAACCAGTTCACTATAAAACGAATATCATATATAATGCAACACAAAAGTCACCTTCGTGCATGCAAGATCCACCTTTCCCGGTATTAGAATGGATCGATCGCAATCCTAAAGATCTCAGCGAAGATTGCCTCTATCTTAATATTTGGGTACCAAGCTCAAAGCCAAATGAAAAACCATTTGCTACCATGGTTTGGATACATGGAGGAGCATTTAACCTGGGATCTGCCAATATGAATCTGTTTGACGGCGCTGTAATTGCGGCAGTGGGAAACCTCATTGTCGTCACATTCAATTATCGTCTAGCTGCATTAAGTTTCGCAAGATTTAATGACGAAGACGAACGAGGAAATATGGGCATGTTAGATCAAGTAATGGCTCTCAAATGGGTGCATCGAAATATCGAAACTTTCGGAGGTGAAAAAAATTTGATAACTATTTTCGGCCAGAGTACGGGAGCGATCTCTATCGCACATCACATGATATCGCCGCTTACTAAAGGCTTATTCAACAGAGTAATTTTGCAAAGTGGTAGCAATTATCTTGAATATTTTGCAGTGAATACTTCATTTAATATCGAAAATACAGTTAGGCTTTCACAGGAAGTCGGCTGCAACGTATCTGATATGTTAACATGTATGAGAGAAAAGAATGCATATGAAATTGTTGAAGCTGAAAAGCGATTGATTAAACGACAACGAACAATACTATATTATCATCCACAAGTCGGTCCTCCATTTCTATCTGACGATCCATTTTACGATATTGACACCGGCAAATTTCATGATGTCGAAATATTAATGGGCAGTGTAATGGATGAAGGCACTCCCTTCGTTATTGCACTGAATCCATATTTAGCAATAGAAGACAAGCCAATTTTATCAAAAGCAGAAGCGAAAGATATTATGAGTAGGTTTTACAAATTAACTGGAGAATATCTTGATCGTATTGTAAAGAAATATTTAGGAAATGTGGCAGAAATTGACTATTCAGAAATTTTAAAACAAACAATCAAAGCTTTAGGCGACGCAGCATTTTCATGCCCCATATCACATTTAGTGGAAAGACTATCTCAGTATGATCACACAGTCTACGTTTATAAGTTCAATCATACTCGAATCAAATCTCTGTTTAAAAAATGGATGGGAGTTCTACACAACGAAGATTTGCATTTCGTGTTTGGAAGACCATTATTAAAACAGAAAGATTACACCGAAGAAGAAGTATTGTTTAGCAGGAGAATTATACAACTTTGGACGTCGTTCGCTAAAACTGGGTGAGCTTTAGTTTTATAATGTGTGTTTCTAAGTTAGAAAAATACATAAAGTATTTCATTTGAAGCATTTAAATGTATGAAATATTGTATGTAGTATTTAATATACACAGTTTATTTATAATGATTTACAACTTTATTTAATATTACGTGTTCTTTATTAATCAGGATTGACTATGAGAAACTGTTATAGATCTGTTTTCGTTACTAATTATCAAAATTTGAAACTGATTTCTATGATTACACTTTATGTAAAGTATGCGTATTTTATTCGATAGACAGCATTTTATAGCAAATTACATAAGAAATAATAATTATATAGAAATATTAATTATGCTATTCCGAAATTCTATTTTACATCAAGTATTTTTAAAACACTATATTACGCAATTTTATTATATGAATAAACTGTAATAATCCTTCAATAAGAAAACTCACTATTGTATAAAGATTTAAAAAATTAATATATTTTATTCACTAGGAAACCCACTTTCGATGAAATGCAGTTTGAATGGAAACAGTTCGATAAGCACCAACGCAACTTCCTTTCTCTGACTCTTGGTAAAATTCGTCCTATGAAAGCAGATTTGGAAGAAAATTGCAAATTTTGGAAAGAGCTACTCAGAGAATATACAAATAAAATGTACATGCANGTTACTAATTATCAAAATTTGAAACTGATTTCTATGATTACACTTTATGTAAAGTATGCGTATTATATTCGATAGACAGCATTTTATAGCAAATTACATAAAAAGTAATAATTATATAGAAATATTAATTAGGCTATTCCGAAATCCTATTTTACATCAAGTATTTTTAAAAGGCTATATTACGCAATTTTATTATATGAATAAACTGTAATAATCCTTCAATAAGAAAACTTACTATTGTATAATGGTTTAAAAAATTAATATATTTTATTCACTAGGAAACCCACTTTCGATGAAATGCAGTTTGAATGGAAACAGTTCGATAAGCACCAACAGAACTTCCTTTCTCTGACTCTTGGTAATATTCGTCCTATGGAAGCAGATTTGGAAGAAAATTGCGAGTTTTGGAAGGAGATACTCAGAGAATATACAAATAAAATGTACATGTACTAATTATAAATTTGGATTTATATATGGTTATATCTTGAAACATTTAAGGTTTGAAGTTCCATTCACTATTCCTACAGAAAGAACAAATTTTTTATATAAATGTAAACACTTTACCTTCGAAAATTTCAATAAAAATGATAATATAATTTGTTTGAGTGTATAATTTTTTTTCTTTACAATGAAATTATGATTCGTGTTACGCTCTTCTAATGTTAAATAAAATACCAATGGACAAGTATTAATGCAGAGCAATTTATGTTATTAATTGTCAAGGATTGAACACAAACTACAGTAACGATATGAAACATAATTCAACTGATACATTATATATAACGCACTAAAATATGTTCTAAGAGTAAGTGTTTGATAAAATTTATGTAAATTGTAATAAAATTATTGGCGTAATAATTTTAAAACTGCCTGTGAATTTTAGATATTAAAATGACACATTCCATTTTAAATTTCTCCTGTTTTGTCCTTTTTTCGCGTCTGCATAAATGTAGCGTTGGGCATCATATATTATCAGGCTGAAGATACCGTTGCCACAATATTATTATTAACTAGCAAATAAGCTCGGCGTTGTTCGGGCAAAAATTAACAATAGCGAAAATTAAGGTTTTTACATTATAGCTAATCTTACCCGTTTTCACAGAATGCAAGGATTAGATATAGTGTTTTCAGATTAATTAGAGAACTTTTAGATGGGGTAAAAATATGTTTGATTTCATGCAAAACGCAAAAAGAAAAAAAACGCATCTGCGTCTGTTAACCTTGCACGCCTCTTTCTCTTAACACTTCCGTTGTTAACACTTCCCCCCGCGTCGGAAGTGTTAAAAACCATTCCCCCGCGTGGAGAATTACGAAAAATCTCTCGTTAGTGTACGCACCGTATTAAAACGTGTCAAAAACGCAAAAAACCGCATCTAAAATAGTACATTAGAAGAACAGTTCTTCAGGGTAAGCCTTAATTCCCTCCCTCTCCCACGTGAGGAGAATTTCCAAAACTCCCTTCTTAGTGTACGTTCTCGTGACGTACTCTAACTGTGTACCTAATTCCAACTTTGAACTGCCACCCTTTTGGGCTCCGCGGTTATTATCAACCCATTGCGATTATATATACGGATAAAGTATTTTAGAAAACACATATATACATAGCGTATGACAGAAATATGTGTCCCAAATTCACAGGCCTGTACAATATAGTAGATAAAAAATGCAGGGGCTTTTGCATCTAAAGTATATATATTTAAGTCGTGAGAAGAATATAAAACTCTTAGAAAAAACTGGTCTTAATGCATGAGGAAAACTTTAATGAAATATTTTTTGTAATTAGAACACAAATCAATTATTGTATTTATTCAGACACTTCGCAAATTTGATTATTAAATTTTATTCAGTTGATACGTGTTCATTGTATTTTTACACGTTTCTGGCATTTCTTGCCCCTCTTCAGCCAACTGAAATAAAAGTTCAGAAGTTACAACAGTTTTATAAACAAACAAATAAGGTCATGTTTCCAAAACATACCTTTTTGATTACAGATTACTGAAAGTTAAAATCATAAAATTTCTCTGCACATTTAACTTGTTATCCATCAAATTACAAATGTTTGTAAGGTTTGTACCTTTAAAACACCTTTACACGCACGACTTCTTATTATCTAAAAAACGTTTTTTAAAAATTTTATATATTTGACTTCATATTATCTAAAGATTTTACATTAATTATCTTGTATACAACTATTTTGATAACAATACTACAAATTACGTACCTAGTTATTCATTTTGAAATGTTATAAAATTTAAACAATTTTAAAATTTTTTCTTATACATTTATTATCACGTTTAAATCTATTTAAAAACAATACCAAAATTTACATACTCATCTTTCATCTAAATCAGTGTTTCTCAACGGGGGCGATATCGCCCCCATGTGGGCGTTTTTCCATGTTGAGGGGGCGATTTGTAACCATTTATATTTTGGGTGACGAAAAACAATATTCTGGGCGATATAGTAAAACATTATATTAAGAATAATTAGATATTTTATTCGTTATATCGTACAATAATTAAACAAATAACATTATACTAGTCACTAGTCTATTCAACGTAGTACGAATTTGGCGTTAGCCTTGGCCCTCGGCATCGGAATTTTGAAGTGAAGGGGCGATACTACGTAACGGTTTTATTGAAGGGGGCGATACTACGTTGAAGGGGGCGACGATTCGTTACAGGTTGAGAAACACTGATCTAAATCCTTTCCCCCTTCAAGTTGAGCTTGCTCACAGTCACATGACGAGTTGGCCACCTTGTGGCGACATTTTTTTAAAAATAATATTTAACATATTTTTTTACATAGGGATATTTTTAAAAAAGGTTTCTAATTTTATAAGATATTGATGGATAACAAGTTAAATGGGCAAAGAAATTTTATGATTTTAACTTTCAGTAATCTGTAATCAAAAAGGCATGTTTTGGAAAACATGACCTTATTTGTTTATTTATAAAACTGTTGTAACTTGTGAACTTTTATTTTAGTTGGCTGAAGAGGGACAAGGAACGCCCGAAACGTGTAAAAATACAATGAACACGTATCAACTGAATAAAATTTAATAATGCGATTTGCGAAGTGTCTGAATAAATACAATAATTGATTTATGTTCGAATTACTAAAAATTATTGGCACAGTTTAAAAAATACCAGAAATATTTTTATTTTTATTTATATAAATTTAAACTGTGAGTAATTTTTACATTGTATAACACTATCCGTTTTTTTAACAAAATGGGTCTTACTTAAACGATGTACTGTACGTCCCTTGACCTGTAGGTATCCTGCAGATGCTTCTACAACGCTCAAAAATTGCATTTTTAGTTTCTTGTTTCCTTTTATATGAAGCTAAGCCCAATGTGTTATGACAGACTGTCAAAGGTGATTGTCTCGAGTTTTTTCTGTTACCAATCAAATGTACTGTACCTAGATATGTAAAGATAATGGGTTTAACGCAATTAGACAATAATTATTCATGTTATAAAAATTCATAAAAACATAATATTTTTTATTTTATGTAACATGTTATGTTTATTTTTCACTATATATAGTACAGGAAGGTCTATCGACTTTCACTCGAATTAACATTTCAAAGCGTATAACAGAATAGACTTCTTAGGTAAGTCTTCCATTCAAAATTTAATGTTAAAATTTATTTATTTATTTTGAATATACGACAATTTCTTGTTTTATACAGTAATTTTGATTTACAGTAAAGTATAAATTTTTCATTAAGAATAGTCATATTTAACCAGCATTTCTCTGTAATGAATGTAATTAACTAAGCACAATACATTTAAATGCGATTTATTAATTATATTTCGTAAAATGGAATACAAGGTAAATTGTGTAATCTTCTTTAATAATAAATATTCATTGTTGCAAGATGTCGATATTATATGCAAATTATTACTAACAAATTAGCATAACATTAGTAACGCACAGTGACTATAATACAGAAAATAGTTGTTATAAAATAAGAGTTTGAAATTGTAAGGAACATTCAAATATATTGACTATAATTAAGTTAAGAGGAATTCGTGATAAAAGTGACCGACTTTTTCATTGACTGATTATTATTTATTGACTGATTTTTTCATTGACTGATTATTATATATAATTATTTCTTACAATATTAATAGTTTATTATAGTACGAGCAATCAACTGTAACAGGAAGATCTTGGCGAAGTTCAATAAACTTAATTGTCCAATGTGATAGATGTATTAATAGAACAGTAATAAACTGATGATAATTTGTAAAAAATAAAAATCTCTTTTTAATATTTATCAGATTAGTTAAACGTTCGATTAGTAAAAAAAAACAAATTTATTTTTAAACTTTTTACATACATATATAAAATTAATGTTTACATTTGGGGAAAATTTGATCTCACTATTGGAGAAATTTTATTTTTTGGAATAAATAGATGATGGTTTGGCAAAAATCTGATTCATTCCCCTTGTCCGAGAGCAATTCATTTATTTACATACTCATTAATGATATCCTCCTACAGATACACCTCCTTCACCTTTATTTCCTCCTAAACCCACTCCTTTTTCTAGCACCACGCCGAAAACTACACGACCGTTTAAATTCACTTTTGGTTTGGGCAAAAATGGTAAGAATAAACTTTTGATCACACTAAATGGTTCTACGTGATGGCCGCCATAGGAATGATAATCTGATCCTCCGTAGCCACCCTGATTAGATCCAAATGTTATAGTCACTCCCTTGGGTGCTTCATATCCTTGACCGTATCCGCCGTCTTCGACACTCCCCCATCGATTAGAATCGTATCCTTAAGCTTCACGATTTCGTTTATGAATTGTAGCGGGAGGCGGATGCTGTGGAGGCAGTTGTTCAGGTTGATGGAAGTAAGGCACTGCTTGTTGCGATGCTTGCTTTGGTATATATCCATGGCTCTGCTCAAAATTGGGCGGGGGATGATGTGGCCTCAAATGTGGTGGCGGCGGAGCATATTGTTGTTGTTGTGGTGGCGGTGGTGGAGAGTGATGTTGTTGAGGTCTTGCTGATGGAAAGTGAGGTTGTGGCTGATGTTTTTGCGGCAAATGATGCTGATTATAATAGGACTTGTGTGGATTGACAGGTTGTTGTTGTATTTGCACTTGTTGTTGTTGTTGTTGTTGTTGTGGAGCATAATTACCACCATTATTTGCAGGATAATAAGTACGAACACCCTGATCATCAAAATTATCACTAGAACGCTTTGGACCATTTTTTGGTTGCGGTGTTCTACGACCAACATCAGGTTTTTTAGATGTTGGTATTACTTCTTCCTCTTCAACTGTTGTTGTTTCTTCGTCGTCGTCGTCTTCCACTTCTAAAGAATTTAGAAGTGAAAGAATTTAGAAGTGGAAATTTTATTTGTATCCTCTTTTTGTTCATTAGTTAGAGAACCAGGTATAGGTACCACAAATATCTTATTACCGGATTCTCTAGATGCTGAAATTATTCTGGACAAAAATTCATTCATATCTGTAACCGCTAAGGGAGGTTTAGTCGTCGTAGATTTGGTTGGTGCTGTCGTGGTGGATTTCTGTTCCGGTATTACCATATGCATTACATAGGATGGACTTTCCACTTCAGTTTTTGCAGTAGATGAACTTTCTACATGTAGATTATCTAATAACTGATTTACCCTTCCTCCAACTGGAAGTCTGCCGTCATACATATTATCACTTCTCTCTTGTAGAACGGGATCTTCTAAAGATTCGTCCTGTAGCCTCTGATTAGAGTTGACGACACTGTCCCTTGCATGCCCCATAACTATATCCGCACTCACAGCCCATGCCACAACACCTATGACAGCCGCTAATGCGGGTAGGACTAGCCCTACAGATATAAGACATTTCATCTTCCTTCTCGACTTGTAATCAGCCTTTAAAGGCGCACCTGGCAAACTGACTGTTCTGTCGATCCCTTCCCCGACTTTGCTAGGTGGTCCAAACCGGGATTACCCGGCTGTGACATCATATCCGTTATCTTTTTCTACCCTATGCTGACAGGGAAATTTCTAGCAAATGGGGCTTTGATAGGTGCCGAACGTCTTTGTTTTTTTTTCTCCTCTTTCTAGATGTGACGTCACGTTCTTACAGACATTCGAGAAAGCGCAACGGACTTTATCGATGGAGCTCTCTTTCTACGCGTCACCGAACTTATTATTTATAGGCGTTCGGGTGAATGCCTAATTTATCGAAAACCCGAAAGCCTACTTATCTTATAATAAAATCGAGATGGATTGATAATAATAATCATAATCAGTGCAGAGCTCAAACGGTTAAAAACTGATAGTTAAAATTTGGTAGACAGTTAGGATAAGTCATGAGAATGCGCACTAAGAATGGATTTTTGGAAATTCCATTCCGGAGAGTAAGAATGATTCTGAAGAACTCGACTTCTACTGTAGAATTTTTCCGATAAATCGAACATATTTTTAGATCCATCTGAAAATTATATAATTAGACTTGGAAGAGGGAAGCCTAATTTTTGCACCCGCTAAAAACCCGGTAAGATCGTCTATATAACTATAAAGTTTATTTTCCGTAACGATTTATCAGACCGAATAACCAATCTAACACATTTATTCAAATTCCTTATTTTTCTATTGTACAAAAATTGAAAAATTTTTTAAATGCGTTAGATTGAGAAGTACGTGTAAAAAAACTCTTAGGTAAGATAACCTTTGTAGTTGTATAAATTAAATACTATAATATAATATAATAGACAGATTAGAAGTACGAAATAATCTAATAATCTTAATCATTGGTGTTGTAATTTTTTGCCCGAGCATCACCAGACATATCTGTTAGTTAAACTATGACTAGGTAGTACGATACTTCAATCAATGTAAACTTGCTTATAATTAAGAGTTAAAATTAAAGAAAAAATTTAAAAAACAGGCTAATTTATAAAATAAAAATGAATGAAATTACTAAAAACATTCAAATGATTTCATATTTCATTATCTTTTGTACGAAAAAACCTAGATCACTTTCTATAGTTTTGCCGCAAAGAAAAGAGAATTGCAATTAATTAAAAAATTGTAATTAAAGTTTTAAATAATGCAGACAAAATTAATGCAAAATGAAATAAATAAAAATAAATAAAAATTATAAATATAATCATAAAAACTAAAACTAAATTAATACAAAATAAATGAAACTCAAAACTTAATTAAAACTAATAATTAAATTAGAAAATAAGAAAATAATAATTAAAATTCAGGCCTTAAAATTCTACAAATAAATATTAAATCTAAATGTGTATAAATGTATTCCGTATATAACCAAAGATTATTATTCAAAATTCAAACTTGAATCGTTTAAACGGGAGCAAAAGAATAGCTGTCTCTTCAATTCGAAATTTGAATTTTTGTTCCTCCTATCCCTATGCTAAGCGTGCCTATCCCTTTGTTAATTTATTACCTTAAATTTATACCTAAACTTTTTCGATTTTATTAAAGGAAAACACACGGTTCATTATACGTTTCACATTTTTCTCCCATATAACCCGCAATTCATACACATTAATGCACTAGAATAAAACTACAGTCATCACATCCGGAAGTACCCAAAAGATTATTAAGAAAAAGTCAGCATTATTATGGTAAAGATTATACCATTATACCATTTGACTTTTATATTATTATTATAATTATATTATGGCTATTAAAAATTATACCATTTGAATTAATAGCCATAATATAATTATTAACTGCCACTGTTTTGTGGTAGATTCGCTATGACATTCACTGCTGTCCCAGCTATAAAAAATCTTTAAGAACTGTGGTTGTTTTTAATACCTTAAAACTCAACTCGAGCACATCTTACAAAACTGAAATAAATTACGTCAATACCATGTTTTCATTGCTTATAATATGTAGTTGAAATATCAATTTAATTTATCATATGATAATATATTCTTGCCATATTAATTTTCAATTGTGTAATTTAATATAAAAGAATACTGTAAGATATTACAGGAATACATTTGAATTTGTCGTTTCATAATTTTATTCTTAATGCTTTATTTTACTTTGTAGTATTCAAGCAATCAAGCAAACTTACTAAATATTTAAGTACATTACATAATATTTTACATAAAATACATAGTAATATTTATAAAACTAATTGTAATATTTTATTGTTTTATTATTTCTAGAGACAAAAATGAAATATCTATTTACGATTCTAACCATTACAACTTTCTTACCAGACTACAATTGCGATATAATCGTACAAACTTCTAGCGGAAAAATACGGGGAAAGAAGATAAATGTCTTGAACAACGATCTATATGCTTTTTTCGGAATTCCTTACGCCCTTCCTCCAATTGGTGAGCTCAGATTTCGGAAACCTCAACCGATCTCAGCATGGAACGGAATTTTAAATGCGACTACGATGTCACCTATTTGTACGCAAGATCCTATCTTTCCTATATTTGAATGGGTACCAGACAAACGCAGATATATGAGAGAAGACTGTCTTTACTTAAATGTCTTGGTTCCTGTTTACAAAACAGAAGACAAGCCATTTTCTACAATGGTTTGGATCCACAGAGGTGCATTCAATACGGGAACTGCCAATATGGATGCTCATTACGGAAGATTTCTTTCTTCCATCGGAAATGTAATTGTCATTAGCTTAAATTATCGATTGGGTATATTTGGATTTCTCAATTTGGGCAACGCTCAAACAACAGGAAACTTGGGAATGTTGGATCAAGTTACCGCTTTGAGATGGATTCATGAAAATGTAGAAAACTTCGGTGGTGACAGAAATGAAATTACTCTTTTCGGGTCCAGCGCTGGATCTATATCTGTAACGCATCATATGATATCACCCTTAACAAAGGGCTTATTTAAAAGAGTTATACTTCAAAGTGGAAGCAACTACAGCCCAATAACATCTGTTGATCCAATTGATAATATTAGATTAAGCGAGACGATAGTGAAACGTACAGGGTGTGGATCTGATAATGGGACAAGCACTCAAAGAAGCGAAAACGATGTAATGAACTGCTTACTTAAATTAAAAGCTGGAAAAATAGCAGCTGCAGAAAGATCTTTAATGTGTGATAAGAGAACTATAATAACTTTTGTACCGGAAAGAGATGGCTTTTTTCTACCCAGTGATCCCATTGGTAATATAGAAAAGGGTTTAATACACGATGTTGACGTCATGATTGGAAGGGTACCTGATGAAGGTTCGACATTTCTAGCATACTATAAACCAGAAGTTCTCAATCAAGAACATCCAGTGATGACTAAATCAGAAGCTAAACACAGTTTGAGTAAATTTTTTAAGCTTAATGATTCCAGTGTTCAATATGTCGTTGACGAATATTTAGGAAATTTGTCAGATGATGATTATTGGGAAATATTTCAACGTGCGAAAAAAGCAATCGGAGATGGTATATTAACCTGCCCAATAATAGGTTTAATAGAAAAACTCTCTGAGCATCATCGCGTTGTATATAATTATATTTTCAATCACGCTCGAATTAATGCTGGTTACAAGAAATGGGAGGGAATTTCACATTTTGCAGAAGTGTATTTTGTCTTCGGTATGCCATTCATGTATCCGGAAAGTTACACTTCGCAAGAGGAAGAATTTAGTTATCAAATCATCAAGCTTTGGACTTCTTTTGCCAAAACTGGGTAAGGAATGTTTAAATTCTCATATTGAGTTTTTTTAATAATTATTAATTTGGCTTTATAATAGGTTTGGTTAAAATGTTTAAAGTGTTCTAATCTCAAAAATCGCATCCTATATATCTTTAACCAATTTACTGATTCTCCATCAGTAGTTTTTAATCTTTTAAAAATCTCTTCAAAAAGTTTAAAAGAAATCGTGTTCATTTTATTCAATATAAACTTTATATTAAATAAAATGAACAACACGATTTCTTTTTATTTTATTTTTCGCAGTGTAAAATATTTCTGATGGTTGATTTTTATAGTAAAGAAGTAATGAATTGATAAAGTAAATCTGTATCTTACCAATATTTTGCTGAATAACATATTACGTGCCCATTAAAAATCTGAAATAAACTTATACCACTTTAAATTTTTTTTTTTGCAATTTAATACAAAAGTTAATTTTGTCTATATTCATTTTCGGTTTATCATGCCTTAAGTCAGTGCAATTGAAATAAGAAAATGTGAATGCAACTGTTCATTTGATGCTGTAAAATTAATTGAAATTAAGTGAAGCATTTGATTTTCTTTAAGAAAGAAGCAAAATAAGTATAATAATATATAAAAATAAATATCTAACAAATATATTTAAAATTTACTTCATTTTTGTTTATAATAAATTATCTTTGATTAATTTATTTGATCATCGAATAGTAAACCGAGAATAATCAATTAAAATACTGTGGAGTCCCGCAAACTCGACTTAATTGTTGTGTTAAACAGATAAAAATTAGATTATATTTTTTTTTTCTTTTTGCGGAACGACAAGACGACTTTTACGGAATGTCAAGTTTCCGGGACTTTACTGTAATGTGTTGCTTATTAGCAGTAATAAATAATTTAAATGGTGTTTTAGACGACTTACAAGAAATATAACTTTTTCGGCTACTCTTTTTTTTATTCTTTTTACAATACCACACTCAAGTAACAAAGTAATAATAAAATCTTCATTAAAACGACAATAATAGAACCTTGATACATCTGATGTTGAGAAATGTTTATTAAATAAACACTAACGTTTTCAATGTAATAGAATAGGCCGTCTTTAGGTGTAATGTAATTCAAACGCAGTTTTAAAAAATTAAGAAAACCGTGTTGCAGTGCTTTTTACTAATGTCATTAGTAAGGGCACTGCAATATACTTTTCTCAAGTACGGCACAAGCAAGGACTCTGTAGTTAAAAGGAATGAAGCGACTAACCTCACGGCCATGCGTTCCTCATCATTAGCATTTCACGAGGAAAAAATTTAAATCTAATCTATAAAAGTAAATTAAAGGATGGTTGTATTAATGCGAATAATGTGGATGGACTCGCTTCTGATTGGAAATTCTACATAATAGAAAAATAAAAATATAAAACACTGCCTGCACCTCCCCTTATATTTGGATGCATTTTTATGTATTTTATTTTTGTGAGGTTCCAAAAATGGGTTGAAATTAAACATTTTTTATAATAATTTGGTAAAACAAAACTAGAAAAATCGTCCATTGTTAAAAACCGATCAAAGATCGGATTAGTTGTGCTAGTCATACAGAATCGCGATGAGGAAAAAAAAACGCTATTAATGTAAACAGAACGCAATAATTATAAATTATTAATAATTGTAAACAAACGTCCTCCGGTAGAGATGGCCCTTTGACAAGGCGCTCGTATAGAAATAATTAGAACATAGAAATTTTGGAAAGGGGAAAGGTTAATGATAAAAAGGAACATTTCGTCAGGTCGTTAAATTTCAAAAACGCCACAGACTAGACAACAATGGGGGGAAAATATGAGTGCAAGTTCCAAAGTTCCATCAACACTTTCCATCCAGAGTTAACGGCTGGTGTTAAGTAGATTCTTCGAAGCGGATCTTTCTCGTGACTCGAACAGGAGCCGTCTTTCGCTTAGGGACAGTCCAGGGACCAATCGGGAAGCGGGAAAAAGAGACGTGGAGCCGATCAGAATAAGCAAATCGAAGAACGGAGATTGATGTAATCCCCGATCCTAAAGAACACGAGACACGAGGCACTCGGCAAGACACACTCGGTGAGTCAAGACAAAAGTATGTGAAAATCGGAAGTGCTGTGCCAACAAACTGGAACAAATCTTTTCGTCTTGGTGCCGATACCGAAGCCGTGCCGTCGCCGACGTCGACCAACGGAGTCTCACGAACAAAGTAACAACACTGCCCCGGGTTCACCTATAAAACAAACAACTAAAGGAGGATCGACGTTATCGATTTCCAAACAGCCGATTGTATCTAGACAATATTTGTTCCTTAGTGTAAGTTTACTTTTATGTTTAAATAAACGGATTTTTGTGAGATTCTTGTCATCTGTGTCTCCTCCGTCATACCCACACGCGAACGACCCTAATCCCCTGTCAGGATGATCTAGAGGGGATTAACGATCCTTCTCTATAAGTCGGCTTACTTTAAATTTTATTTTTATTTTATTTTATTTATTTTACTATATTATTTAAACCGTTATTGTTTTACTTTATTTAACATATTTTATTTTTTTATTTATTTGCTAATTTATCTAATATTTCTGTTTTAAATTTAAATGTAAAATGTTCGAACGTTCATCGTTAAAATGCCAATTTTTTAAAAAATACGTTCGAATTCAGTTACTCCTGTAGATGACCTATTCCATTCGGTAGAAAACGTAAGTGTTTGTTTAATAAACATTTCTCAGCATCAGGTGTTTGATGGTTCATTAAGTATTTTAAAGAGCTGAATATGATATTTGATTATTGGCAATAATAGATTATTTAGTTAACAATTTCTCACAATAACTATCATGTCTTAAAGCAGTTATCTATTAATGCTACAAAACATGGTAGTTATTGTGAGAAATTGTTACCATTGTTTTATTGCAAAAAGCGCAAAGTTCTAAAATAAAAGGTCTGCATTTGATCAATTTTAACTTCGTGTGAAACTTTTTAATGATCTACTATTGTCGTTTTTAACACAACAATAGGATCAAATAACTTATCGTTCTTCACAGGCGACACTTGATAATATGATGGCAAAAGGTGCAACCAAATGTAGCCGGGAAAGTTAAACAACTCGTTGCTGCATTTTTCTTAATGGTCTAAGATTGTCGCATTTTCTTCCATGTGTTTTAACTTATTTCTCTTAGAGTTTAATCAAGGAAGAAAATTTATCTGTATCCGT